GTGCAAGCTAATAAAGGCTGCTTCTATAATTATGAAAGAATCAGAGCTCTTTCATCACTTGCTGCTTGRCATTCTGAAACAATGGTGCAGATATTTCCTCTTCCAAATGGTGCAGGATACTGCAAGCATCTTGGAAGCACTGGAATTGCCTGACATGCTGGCCAATGACCCATGACTTTCAGAACACAAAGATCCCAGAGTTCTTGCACGAATAAAGGCTTTACACTGACAAATACATGTCAGTTAGACTAATTCTCTAGGCAGCACAGTGGCCTGGACTTGCTCAGGGGACCTGCCCAAGGAACACAAAAAATTGTGATTCAGCAGACTCACACAACATTTCTGTGCTGCAAGTTTCTATGSAGGGTTTCAAAGTGCAAAAATAAAAGGCCACTAAAATACCTTTAGCAAAGAAAAATATTAACTAAGTATATAGAAAGACTGGGAAAACAYAAACATTCTATTAAAACAAAATTCCTTTTTTATTCACTGACTAGAAATTGTGTTCTGAATCATGGCTCAGAGTCCTTAGAGCACTGATATATACCCAGCTGGGGATTTGTCCAGCAGACTTCTCTCAGGAAACACAGCAGTGGTTTGGCTCTAGCAGCTTTAGAAGAAAATCTTTCTTAATACTAGCCCTTAACTTTCTGTATGCTCAACGATTTATGATCTTAAAATGGTTATGTATTTAAAAGCCTGCCAATTCCTCTTCAAATGCCTCTCTCTAAACACTTCTCATCCACCATCAGAACAAAATAAATCCTGAYTGTCAATGACTGGAAGCACAGTTAAACTCTATATACAAATAGATGAGTTCKTAGTATACATCAAGTTGAAGATCTGCTCGAGAGCAGAATACTTTTTCTTTTATTCTTTACTTTTTTCTCTGATAACACTCGTGACAAACCAGTCCTTTAGCTGAAAATGCAATAACCAGCCTGAATTAAAATTCTACATTAAAACCTACCACACCCAATCCAAGACATGTCCCCACTCATTTCCATTTTGATTTATAACATGTGGAAATGGTTCTGACTTTCTCAACTGCACTTATGAACTATGCACGCACTTGCTTTCCTAAAGCTTCGGCAGAGTAAAGAGTTGGCTTCACTTTCGTTTAACTTTCAGGCTCCAAACATTTTTSGTTTCTTCTTGCAAGCAAAGTAAATCTCAAACCAGCTCTGTTCAGAGCTTCAAAAAGAGCTGTGACCGTGGGCATCTTTTAGAGTCATAACTTCACAAAAAGAATGTACCTGGTAGCAAACTGCAAAAATTAAATACAGTTATRTAGGTTTTAAAGGTACCAAGACAAGTGGTTCAGTGCTACTAGATGGTAGGTGATTTTTCCGTGGCTCTTACTAAAAATGTTTTCAAGTTCTGCTAGAAATTACATAAGAAAAATTGTTCTAGAAAACTTTTAAAGAATTCCTTCCTTCCTTTTTCCATTTGATTTACCTTGCTAAATAAAAATGAGGAAAATAAGGACRTTTTCTCTTTATCACCTCAAATTCACACAACCATCTATCCAGGTGAAGAGCTGACTAAGTACCATAAGCAGACAACCTGCACTATTGAAACAATACGTTTTCTCCATGAAATGCCAATAAAAACGCCGTGTATGATATAGAAAACAAGAGTGAAATCTCCAGCAGGACAAAATATCCTGAAACTCAGTAACTCAGTCTTAGCAATATATACTTTCTGCAATCTTGCTGTATTCTCTTCTATTTCCCACAAAAAAAAAGACTCCAAGAAGAACCCTGCAATAAAAATCCACAGGCTGCAAGAATCACAAAAGTTCACATAAAAATAAATGTATATTCTTATTGCAACTCTTTCCCACACAGTGTTTTTTTAATAAGCATTCTTCTATTTTATAAACAACTAGGAATGGGATCCTTATCAGTTTGYATTACATTGTCAAAGTGATGCTGCAGTTACCTTGAGCCAGAGARGGTTTCATCTGCAGTTGCTTTAGAATGAGCAGCTGTGAGTGCCACGAGACTGATCTTTTCTTTCTTTTCTTCTAGCTGAGTTCTCCTTACTCAACTGACTGAAGTTCATATACTGGAAAAACTAATAATCGTGTGAACACTGGATGGGTTAAAGAAGTCATAACTTTTTTTCCTGTCATCTCTGAAAAGCAGCTTTTCCTGGAAGCCATTATGTTATTCTTAGGCCTCTTTCTGTTACCAATAATATATAAACATGGAATTTTCTCCCYAGGGATTCAAAATAGCTTTCTGGAACTCAGGTTTCCCATTGTCACTGATAAAAGACCAAATCCTTTCTGGCTTGGAAGTCATTTGACTTCAGGGAGGTTCCAGCAGAGATAAATTTTACTTGCTAATTTAACTAATTTCCATAGAATTTCTGTAAATACAAGTATAAGAACAAAATGTTTTACTTATGAAAACAGCTGATAAAGATMACATTACTGTGTTTGGATAAATTAGGATTTATTATGTTAAATACTTWCTGTTTAATCATAATCATGCACACCACTGATTTAGATACTATTTCAAAGCAAAGATTCTTGTTCCCYGGATTTTRAATGTCYCAGAGGTGTCTGGGGTTTGCTTTTCTCCAAAGATGAATTGCCTTCAGCATWGACTTTTATCTGACACCACAGCAGAAGTGGAAGGCAGGTAGACAAGGCTGGAGAGAGAAGGGAGTTCCAGAAAGGAAGCAGACACAAAACTTGTGGTGTTTARAAGTCTCCATTTTGTCACTGGAAGAGAAAGTTAGTAAAACTTCCCCCTCTCACAAAATAGCTGCTGAAGGAAATCTGTTTAGGCAGGAAGCACTCAGATACTACAGCAAGTACTGCCAGAAAGTTTCTGATAAAAAAATCCCAATCTGACGCAGTTTGGAGCTAACTGGTAAAAACAATGAAACCATTTTTTAAAAGACAGTTGCTGAAGATAGGCAGCATTTGCTGACCACCTGGCAATTTGTGCTGCATGGAAGGGTATTGCGTGCTCATTTAACAAGCAGAACTAGTTTTTGTATAAATGGTAAATTGCCCTATTTAAATACTGGGGTATTTTTTTCTTTCAGGCTCTGTTTAGTGCTGCGTTTGGGTTGTTTGGTTTTGYTGTTTTGTTTGAGGTTYTTTTTTCCCCTCAGTATTRTCATTAAAATCTCTATKAATAGAATAATAAATTGGCAACTCCCAAGGCCACTGTATTCCACATATGCAGGGTCAAACAAGATGTAAGTCTTGCCCATAGAATACATGGTTAATGCATGCAAAGTTCTCATAATACAAACCCTTGAACATTTGCCCCTTACTGCTTTCTCAGGCAGGTATAAATGAGACATGTGCGATGAAAACATAACCTCCTTGAACCAGTAGGACATGAATTTTACTTTCATTTCTCCTTTCACCCATACTATCTACGTTAGTTGAAAGCAAGYGAGCGGAAATGAGTAATGAGRTATTTTTGTGATACATGGAAGTWGATTTCAAAGAAACAAACACATCACTGTTCATTARCCTGAGTGATTTAAAGTGAGCAGCACGTTAAGTTCAGAAAGCATCACATATAAAATAAAAAACAACTAGAGCGATTCTGTATATAGTATGGTAATATCTGTAATTTATATAACCAGCATGAATAAAATCAGATTTTGTCTTCAAGTTGCATACCCRGACCTCTGTGGATTTTTTTTCAAGGCACAACAAAAATAGTCTTGCTGATTTTTGGTTGATTTTAAACTGASTTAYGAGCAGTAACACARACTTCTAAAGCAGCAAACATTCCCCTCACATCAGCTACTGAATGTTTTTTCATTCTAACCTCATCTCACAATCATAATACAAACAAAATGGGGGATACAGTCTATTTTTAACCATCTAAAGTTCATGGGAAGTACTGTAAAAAAAATCAGACATGGCATGAGAAACAGCCTCTCCTTTTTCCCTGCTCCCCATGCAAGGCTATCCTTCAAGGACTGTCAAGTATTAAATTCAGCCCAACAGAACTCGTGTTTCTGAATAGCATTGTGAATCAGCTTTTGGCATTACAGTTTCCTCTATTGCTTCAGAACAGCTTTTTGCAAGGGGTAGGTTTAATATTTCATTGCAAAACCTGTGACTTGAAATCATTTCACTGCTTTAAAGGAACACTGGACTAATTTTCTGTAGGACAAATATATTCAGCCCAAGCCTCTTTCCACTAAAAAATGAGGAATTTTGTCCTTGCGGCACTGTTAAGAATGCTGTTCTCGAGTAAAGTTGGGGGGAGAGACACAAAAAAGGAGTGCCCAGATACTACCAGAAAACAAAAATCTGTTTTTAAGTATTTCTACTAATTCTAAATGTGCTTGTGCTTTTGCTGTGTTTTGCAACAGCAAAGTAAAAAAATAAAAAGATTGTTTTGTGCTTTTATGTAATTATCCTCATTAAAAAAACATAAAAACTATCAGTTGCCTTCTTCAATAGCTTTTATTTATAGCCATGTTTATACACCCACTRCTCCCTAATATTTCATGCCAGGACGTTTACCGAACAAAGTTTTTATTTCTTTCTTTCATTGGAACAAGACCCGCCTCCTCCATCTGAGGAGAGAGGGGGCACAAAGTACCCTGGAGACCCGCACCAAAGCGTGGAGTTTAATATCCCGGTCTCTGCTGGCTTCAAACACCAGACAAAACCCAACCACACCATGGTGGTCGAAGAGACACGACACGAAAGAGACACGAGCAAGGCTTGCAGGAAAAGTGGTACGAGGAGAAGGACGACAGTGCTCGGCCGCCTGCAATTGATGGGCGTCAGGGATGGAGAAGCGGATTGGAGCGGCCGAGCCAGGAGCCGCAGCTGTTTGGGGCCCCGCGGGTGCTCTCCGTGCCCTGAGGGCTCCGCGCTGGTTTCGCTTTCTCTTTCCCTGCCCGGCCCCGGCACCCGCCGCCTTTCCCCGAAATCACGTGACGCGCCCGCTCCCCCGCCCCGCCCCCGCCCCGCCCCCGCGCATGCGCACAAAGCAGCGCGGCTCCCCGGGCACAGCCGGCACCGGAGCCGGAGCCGAGGTGAGGGCAGCGGCCGTGAGGGGCACGGCGGGGCAGTACCTGAGGTGAGGGCAGCGGCCGTGAGGGGCACGGCGGGGCAGT